GAATTAAGTTAAATAATCTAATTAATATTAAGTCTAAAAATGTTTTAATGTGAATTTCATTAATAAATACTATTTATAATTCTACAATATTATGAATTTTTAACCATATTTAATTACCTACACAATATTATAATACAATTAGAACACACATTTTTGGATTAAAACCCCCCCCCGAAATTAATTTCCAGTTACGGCCTTGCACCGCCCTACCACTCTCACGCCACCGTAACACCTTAATCATAATTCATAATTATTCTAATCGATGTTAGAATTGTACTTTTCTCCCACCACCCGTTTCACCGACGGCAACCGGCTTCCGCCGGCCCGTTTTTCTTTTTTCCTTCTCTTCTCTTTCTGCTGCCGAACTATCAAGTTCGCATTGTTTATTTAAACTATTATATTTGTGGACAAAAAAGGAGTAGCGATAGCTAAAGTCCTTCCCAGTGATGTCCGTGGAAAGACGGGTGATACTCAAAAAGGATGATCAGACACTGAGACACCGAAGAGTGTCTGCAGATCCCTTTAAAGGTATGTGAGTACTATTAAAATAAAACTGTACTATATATATATATATATATGGCTGGTAAAGCATTTTATTCTTTTTTATTATTATATATATATATTATATATATATATTATATTTGTCCTTGTTGACCGGTAACCGTCCAGTGGAGCCATTGGAGTCTAGGCGTGGTTTATTATTCATAATATGTTATTATTATACTATAAGAATCTGTTGAGCCTCGCGCGTCGTTTGCTCATTGTGTAAATTATTTTATTATGTCCGAGTTTTAAGCCCTTTTGAGCTTTCTCGGCACCAACTTAAAAACATATCAGTTTTCCCACATAACTTTTGTGTCTTGAGTTGTATTTTATTATTATTAGTATTACAATCGTTATTAATTCATCCTTATGTAATGCATTTATTATAATGAACAATAAAATCCACGGTTTAAAAACGAATTTAATCTACTGTAGTATACTAGTATGTCGTATACGCCGATCACTTTATCGTACACATTAACCGAGCAAATAAAATTATAAGCACATTTAATAAACACTGATGTCTGGTGGTAATCTAGTAACACGATCACCACCACTGACCTCACATTTATCTTGTACTATGACTTTTATATTATATATACTTTTACCTAGTTTCTGTGTTGCTACGTCTGCTAAAACTTACTGACTAAGACTTAGATAGTACTAAATATTGTTACATTACATGTTTACTTAAATTAGTTAATATTTTTAGTATAAATAATTTTTATATTTATGCATGATACAACACACCCCAATATAACATAAAATATGTCCTCGTATTTAAAAAAAAATTATTTCAGTTAAGAATGAAATTTAAATGATATAAGTTTTTGTATTTAAAAAAAAATTAAAGTTGATGCTATTGCGTGGTCAACAAAAGTCATATTATTATGTCTATTGATCGTAAGAATCCTAAAGAAGCGGTCGTTGAATATAAATGAAGAAGCCATCATCCAAAAAAGCTATAATCGTTGGATCATATGGGTGGTTATAACTTGGGGTGCTAAATTGGTAGGATATTTTTGTGTGTTCGGTGTATCTATGCAACGGAAGATGGTCTTTGAATCTCCCGATATGTTATTTTGTCACAATCATTTAATCATATTGCAATTATAATTAATGCCGAAGTTGAAAAAATATGTAAGTCTGTGCAAATATAAACATAATCGACACTCGACAGAAAAAACTATAAAACTAAAATCAACCATTAATGTACCTGGCATTATAGAATAATAAACAAAATAATATGCAGTATTAACTATATTAGGTCACTATAATTTCGGTACGTATGTAATAAATTATGATGTAGTTATGTTAAAAGTTGCATTACATAAAATATTTTGGTAAATTTATGAGCTAAATATAACTTATACATTTCTAAAAAGCTTATAATTTGTATAGACCAAAAGTAATCAAGTAAGTGGATGTCACTCTGCTGTACAGTAGGTTACAATTGGGCCCCATGTGTAATAGATGGTGTTAAATTTAAATTCAATGATATACAATTTTTCTACACGAAAAACGATATTGAGAGGAAAAGATCTGTTAACCTATATAATATTACTTAGTAATTCAGTATATTTGATGATATTATTGTGACTATAGTAATTTATTTTATTATTATGCATTAGAACAACAGTAGATTAAATTCATTTTTGCCAAAAAAATAAATTTAGAAAGTCATTGTGCCTATAAAATATAATAATATATTCTAATTACTCTAAGTTTCAAGTAGTTACTCACGAATTATATTTTTAAATTACAACAAAATAATTTAAATCACTATTCTTATGGTTATTACTTATTTAGGTAAAATGTAATTTCGTCCACATTTGAACATTTAAATTATTTTTAAATTTTGAATGATACATATATTTTGTCAAAATTTGAACTTTAAATGATAATAAAAAACGTGCATGTGTATTTTTAATATTTTTCAACTGATATTGTAACAATATATTAGGAGCCCTGTATTCAATTTTAGCTTTTTTTGACCCAACAAATAAAATGTTCTTAAAAAAAAACTTGAAAAATTGGAAATGTCTGTAAATAGCTCAAAACGAGTTTAAAATGTTGTCAGGTAGGTATATGAATCAATAAAATAAACGTAGAGTAAATTTCAAGTATGTGCAGTTATTCGTTTTTGAATTACAACAAAATAAAAAAATCGCTAAATGAAAAATCGAGTGAATATCCAATGTTGTAAAAATTTCAACTGCAAATGCTCATAAAAATTTAATTTGACTTCCCAGAAGAAATTTTTTTTTTATTAAGGTAAGCAAACTTATAAGGAATATTGGATCGAATTTTTAAACCTTAAATATAAATAATAAATATAAAAATTGTATGAAATTTTCAACTCAAAATAATATTCGAATTTTCGTAATTTTTACGAATTTAGTCAAAGTTCTAAATTCTCACTCTCATAAAAAATTACTGTGGATTTAAGCTCAACTTTTTTTAATTTCTACTAACAAGGAACCTTGTACTCACATTTTCAAGTGCAAACTATTTATCGACATACATTTTAATAACAATCGAAAATTTCATATGCCTATAAACGTTCAACACGAGTCAAAATATTTTGAAAATATTATGGTATATAGAAAATGCGGATACAAATATTCAGTGAAAATTGCATGTATCTACCGTATTTTTTGTTCAGAGTTTTTATCAAAAATCAAAATCGATCAAAACCCGGTAGATGGTATGTATACAAACTCATTGTTGGAAAGCCTAGAGATATTAAATATCCGATCTCCGCTCCCAGGTTTATACCTAACCTAGCGATTGGAAAAGTCCATTAGGTAGTGGAGAAGTGTGCATCCCAGGATGCCTATTGCCTAAAACTACTTTTTATTGCACAATAAACTATGTGGACCGGCGGAGAAGCCATACCAACACCAGTTCCTTCCCCGGTTCTCGATAACAAGGGGAAAAAAAGGTATACCTATTAAACATAAACTTGATTACATTATTTAAAGTAATATTTAAAGAATTAATGTGAAACTCATACGCTTGTTCCCAAAACCCACAATACCATATGGCATAAAATAGAGTGAACTAAAGGTAAATAAATTGTTAGTTTCATATAAATATCAAATATACGCCGTAAATCATGAAAGACGTATAAAAAAATTCGAAGAGTATTTGTAAGATTAATATAATTTTGATAAGCCATTATCAAACCAATCTTTAATAACATTTTAGATTTTGAGCGGAGCGATGAATGTATTGATTTTATACAATGATGTGTGTTTTTATAATTATTTTTTTTTTGTGTGCGTGTCCGTCATCATGGTTTCTTGTAAGTTGCAGTAAAAATGCTTCGATTTTCTTGAACAACAGCTTTTCTGGTAGGAAAGTGAATCTATTTGGTGCACATTCGGAAGGTGAAAATTTAATTCCCAATAGTTTTCAAAAGCAACAGGAAAAGCTAACAAAAAATTAAGAAAAAACCTTTTGAAAAAATCTAATTTGATTTTTAGTGTAATTCTAACAAAAATAACGGTATAATGAAGATACATAATATTTTCCCTGAATATTTGTGTAAGCATTTTCTATGCACCATACAATTTTCAAAATATTTTATTTTATTCAAACTATTTATAGACATATGACATTTTCATATATATAAGCATTTAAAGTTCAAATGTTGACAATATTTATCAAATTAAAAATTGAAAATGATTTTGTGGTTAATAATGTACAACATTTTCAATTTTTATAGTTAAGAATTGAAAATTTAAAAACAAGGTTCCACTTAATCAGTTTTTTCTGTAACTAAAAAATCTAAAAAATTCATGGGTACAGTTATTTTGTACTGACATTTTAAGTTCAAATTTGGATAAGATTTCATATTATAACATAAAAAATAACGTTTATCATTTTGTTGTAATTCAGTTCCAAAACAGCCCAATTTTACATAGGTATATTTAATATTTTTCCAGGATCACTAATAATTTAAGAATAATATTAGTTCAACTTTCCGGCTACCATATTAATAATAAGTAATAACAATATAAAAATAGCAGGTAAGTGGATGTATGTCGCTCTGCTGTACATTAGGTTTCTAGCAGGTCGCTGTAATGGATGAATTTAGTTTGAAATCAATGATATCATATATTTATATCATTCTATACGAAAAACGATTCTGAGCGGAGACAGTATGTCACTCAAGGATATGTTATATTATTATTACTTATTATTAGAGCGCGGATTTTTATGCACTAAAAAGTATCAAAATATGCCATATAATATGCAGTAAAAATCATGAAAATATGCAAAAAATATGCAGTAAAAATCATGAAAGTATGCAAAAATATGCAGTAAAAATCATGAAATTCGTTTTTTTTATTTATTTAAAATTTTACAAATTAAACTTCTTATAACAATTAATTACTTAAATACTAAAATATTAAATACTTATATTAATTTCTTTTTAAATTTTTTTAATTTTATTTACTATTAAAATGAATGATCATATGCATTTCAAGTTTTTCTTCTGTGAAGCTATGACGTTTATCAGTTAACATATTTTTAAATACTGAAAACGAACGTTCGACGTCAACCGAAGTTGTTGGGGCATATTTGAAGCAACTTATTATTTTCGGGTCTTGATAAACATCTTCGAGCTGAACGTTTTCGCCTGATAGTACTGCATTTATTTTTCGTAGAATTTCTAGACCTTTATTTTTATTGGAAAGCTCATTTAATTTTGTAGTAAGTGTTGCACCTTTTGGCCCAGGAATAGAATTAATTTTTTCTTTGATTTCGTCAATTATTGAAAAGCTTTCATGTAAAGTCATATTTTGAGTTTCCAGTTTTTTATTAAGTTTACGTCGTGCCCATAAAATGTATTTTTAATTTTTCTACTTGATTATACTATATTATTTTATACATTTTTTTAAATTTTTGCTTCAATATGCAATAAATATGCAATACATTTTGAATTTTGCCTAAATATGCAAAATTATGCAATAACATTGAAATATGCAAAAAAAAATTTCACCATTTGCTTCAAATTATGATTCGTAGAGAATACTGACAAAAATCCAAAAATATTAAAAGGAAACAAATATGCAATTGCATAGAAATCCGCGCTCTACTTATTATTAATATGGGTGCCGTTAAAAATCGTGCGTATGTATTTTTAATATTTTTCAACTGATATTGTAACAATAGTTATCAAGAGTCTTGTATTAAATTTTCGTGCTTTTTGACCCAACCAATAAAATTTTATTGACATTTATAGAAAAAAATGAAAATTGAAAATGTCAGCTAATAGATTAAAATGAATCAAAATATTTTGAAAATTGTATCAAGTATATGAATTAATGAATCTCTTGTGATTTTTAAATATCTACAGTAATTTGTTTTTGAATGGCAACAAAAATATAAAATAGCGCTACAAGGGAAATCGAGTGAATATCCAATGTTGTACACATTTTAACTTTAAACGCTCATAAAAATTTAATTTGACTTTCCGGTAGACAGCACAGACAAACTTGTAAGGAATCTTGTATTAAAATTTTAAATCTTAGATATAAATAGAAAATTTTTTATGAGTTTCTATAACTAAATATAATTTGCTAATTTTCATGATTTTTTGCAAATTTTGTCGAAATTCTACGGTTTTAAATTCTAAGTTTAAACGATTAAAAAAAAATATTGTGATGGATTTACGATCAACTTTATTTTTAATTTTCATAAACAACAACTTACATTGAACTTTGTATACATTTTCAAGTTTTTTGACCTAGCGAACATTTTTTTATCGACTTGAGTTTAAAAAAAACAAATTATAATCCAAAATTTAATAAGCCTTTAAATAGTTCAACACCATTCAAAATATTTTGTAGATTTTATGATGAATAGGAAATGATTACCCAAATATTTATAGTGAAATTTTCATGTATTTACAGTCATTTTTGTTAGAGTTACACTAAAAACTAAAATCGATTTTTTCGAAAAATGGTTTTGCTTAAAAATTCTCGTTTTTCCTTAATATATATTTTTTTTTTGTTTTGTTTTTCCAGTTGCTTTTGAAAACTATTGGGAATTTTAAAATTTGACCTCCCAAATGCACCAACTAGATTCACTTTCCTACCTACCAGAAAAGTGGCTGTTCGAGAAAATCGAAGCACTTTTACTGCAAAAAACAGTGATGACAGACACAATAAAAAAATAAATAAATAAATATAAAAACACACATCATTGTAAAATCAATACATTCATCGCTCCGTTCAGAATCTAATGTTGTAAACTGACGTATCGTCTCCGCTCAGAATCGTTTTTCATATGCTATGATTTGATATAACTGAATTAAAATTTAATACCATCCACATAGCGACTTTTTAGACACCTAATGTACAGCAGAGCGACATCCAAGTGGATGTAAGTACCCGCTTTTTTGTATTTATAAATTATATGTAATGCATATACTCTAATCACTATGAATTAAAATAGCAATATCGTCAGGATTATTATTTCAGCATCAACATATTTAAATGGCCATTTATAATATATAATATTATGAAAGGATAAGTATGGAATATTATGTACATTTCAAAATTGAATGTTAAATATTCCAGATAGGTAGTTACAAATTCTTTTTCAAATTTATAAACATGATACAAAATTAAAATAATAAGTATTGAATACGAACCTTTAAAGTTAAGTCACACGCACGTGTGTACATTAATGTTGACATCAATATAATGTTCAATACAATGTTTGAAATCAAATACGAAATAACAATGTAATCTATTTGAATGTCTCGACGAATTGGCGCGTACGAGGCGGACTGTGCTACCGTAGACGCTGCTGCTCGACCGGGAGGATCTTGTTTTGTTGGAGGTGGTTCAGTGCTTGTGAAAATAATAATAATAATAATATTATGTGAATTTAGATCGGACACGTACATCAAGTTATTATCAGTACTCCGTTTATGATGTTCCTAGAGCGACGCCGTGCCGATGTGGCAGAAGCGGTCGTCTTGATAACGTCGGCCGAGTCACGTAATAATTTTGATAATCTTTAGGTACGTTTCGGCGACCGGCGGCGACCACTGGTTACAGTATTTAGTGTACGTATTAAAATATGTATTATTGCCGTAAGATTATTGTCATTATGTCGAAATAATAATAATAATAATAATAATAATAATAATAATATCGTGGAACCTATAACGTGTAACAGACGAGCCGCCGAAACCAGTAGTAATAATAATAAAAACGACGATATTATTATGCCAACGACACAGTTTTCCCGATGACGCTGTTGTGATTGACCCGCGGACACAAGTTTCAAATTAAAGGCGCATAGTGCATACATATATACAGATAATAAAGAGACGTCGTAATCCGGTCGTGATCGTGTGCTTGTCCATCCGAACGCTCCAGCTGTTAGGGAATATGTCACAGCTTCGTCTGCCGCTGCTGGTGGTGTCCGTCGTCTTTGTCCTATTGTCAGGCTATGCCGACGTCGGGCGCTGCAACCAGGTCGTGTCCCGGTTCGAGTACAAGTACAGCTTCAAGCCTCCATATTTGGCACAGAAAGATGGATCTGTACCGTTCTGGGAGTACGGCGGAAGTATGTCAATGTTTACCGTGTTTCCTTCCTTATCTTTGTTTAATGTTTTTTTATGTACATAGGTTTCTATCTCAATTAATTGATTATTTCCCTCACTGAACGATTTATATAGGTATGTCCAATCACGTTATGTTTAATAACGAATTCTAGAAACAGCTTTGTAAACTTTATGTCCTACCAATAGCTGGTAATAACTGTACAGTATGCTTGCACTCGAGGAGCTATTGAAATTTGTTTTAAAATTAACAGTTTGCACTTAGAATTTTAGCAACAAAAAAATACCAAATAAAAATCTTTTTGTAACACTTAAAGCTTACTTGTCTTGAAGTGATTGTAAAAAATAACAATAATTTTAAACCACTTTTTTTTACAAACTAGTACATTTTTAGTTTCATATCTACTAATTAATATTAATAATAGGAGGTATATTTTTAATACATTTGAATACCTACCTAATATACATTCATAAGTATAAAAATTATAATAAATTATTATGTGGATAAAATAATCAAAAATATCAACAAAAAAAACCATCATAATGGGTAGTATGTATTAACATCTTAAAATTCTCTCCAGAATGCTTTATTTCTGAATGCTACATTTTTTAAATGAGAAGAGTTAGAATCGATTATAAATCACTCAAAAACAGTCAATCTATGTTATGCAAATTTGATGTAATATTTGTTAATAACTTATTAGGAGTTAGACGTTGCTTTACATTAAACGTATTCTTGATTTAATATTGATTGTTTGTTTTTTGTTTTGTATAGATGCTATTGCCAGTGCAGATAATGTTCGAATTGCGCCATCTTTAAAAAGCCAAAAAGGTTTGTTTTTATCCAGTTCATTATATGATATTATACCTGTATTTTTTTTATTTGCATAGTACTCGAAGCATTGTTACAATACAAAGTGTATTTGGTTCCATTAGATGATTTATTAACTATAATACCTACTACTGTTTAAATATTATGTACATTTGTATCAAATATTCATAAAAATAAGATCTTAAGTTGTATTGTCTTATTTATTGTCAAATGAAGCATCGTGATCTTGGTATATTCCGAAGACTACATTTTACATTTTACATTTTTTTTTATCTATATATTTTATGCTTAGATTATGCAACAAATAGTCTTACAAATCCTTTTCTGCGTATTTTATTTATAAGTTGATTAGTTAAACATTTAAGCAATCAATTTTCTTTCTAGTAAAAATTTCATTTAACTTAATTTCAAAAAAAAAACATGTTTTCATTTGATTATTTAATGATTTTTTGAATTGGTATTAGTGGATTTGATAAATGAAAGTTTTTTTCAGGTGCAATTTGGACAAAAAGTCAAACAAAGTTTGATTGGTGGACAGTTGAAATAAATTTTAGAGTCAGCGGAAGAGGAAGAATTGGTGCTGATGGCCTGGTACATATATTACAAATTATGATTATAATTATAACTTATAATAAATAATATTTAAATATGATTTTAAACAGGCATTTTGGTATACAACTTCTAAAGGTGACTATAATGGTCCAGTATTTGGTAGCTCCGACAAATGGACTGGATTGGGAGTATTCTTTGATTCTTTTGACAATGATGGCAAACACAATAATCCATATATTATGGGTGTAGTAAATGATGGATCACAAGTTTTTGATCATGCAAAGTAAATTAATCAATTCATATATTAAATAAATTATTTATTTGCCATGTTTTTTTAGTGATGGCTCTACTCAACAGTTATCCGGATGTTTGAGAGATTTTAGAAATAAACCTTTTGCGACAAGAGCTAAAATTGAATATTACATGAACACATTAACGGTATGTATTGTTGTGTGGGAATGATTAAAGGTATAATGGTTGCTGGCGGACTATGTCATAAGTGATTTCACATACCAATTGAAATTGCTCTCAGGCTCAACATCTGCTTAACTGATTGAGTGTGCTCTCTAACATATTTTGTGAATTGTGATTACAATATAATATAGTACAAATGTATTCCACTACAGGATGGTTTATCATAAGTAATTATGTAGACAGCAATTCCATAGCTCATTTGGCAACCATTATATCTTTAACTATGATAAAAATCCAGTTAGCCGCTTCTTAAGAGAACATTGTATCCGCAAATATTGTCTCTGTCTTGCTAACCCATCATGTACCGAAAAATAAGTTCAGCAGTTCCAATGTTGTATTATTAGCCTAAATATTAAAATGAATTGCCCTATTATCAAGCTTAAATGTAAAAATATTATCTGTGTTCTCTCATTGATATTTATGATATTGGAATTTTTAAGTGAATTATGTGTATAAAATATAAATATTTTAAAATGTGCATAATTCACTGAAAAATTCAAATATCATAATAATTAAAAAGAAAACGCAGATAATATTCTTACATTTAAGTTTGATAAAAGGTCAATTCATTTTAATATTGAAGCTAACAATACATTATAATTACGGGATGTAGATTTTGGTATATTATGCATTAGTACGGTAGAGACAACTATGAGGGTACGATATAAAAATAAAGTACAAAACATCAAAAAAATAAGTTTTTTTTAAAATTTAAAAGAATGTTAAATTCTAAGTGAATTGATATAGGTTTAACGGTTCTACACACATTCAATGAATTATTATTGTAAGGCTAGGATAGTATAGGATTTCGCACTTTTTTTATGATACACGGAATACAGCTTTTCTTGCACAAAATGTGATTTGGTTGTCTATCGGTTCATATATAAATTTTATTTTGCATTTTTTCTACTTTTTCGAGTTTCAAGTAAATGTGTAAATGTTGCTCGCTTCACAAAATAACTTTCTTACTGTCGCGTTGTAACGTATTTTTAAATTTTTATTGTATGTATGGGATGTGCTTTTATGCACTGAAGATGTTAATGGAGCCAGAATTTGTATAGTGTTAAATTTTTTTGAAATATTTAAAATCTCATAATATAAATTGTTGTTACGTACGTTTGTGCAACAACAACAGTTACTTATAGCAATACGACATAGCACAAACCTCCATTATCTTTTAGTATTTTTAATGTTTAAAAAAACTAAACATTTCATTGAAACTATAATACTTCTATTGTCGTAGGCACAAAATTTTTAAAAAATGTTAATGTAAATCAAATATCAAAAATAACCTTTTATATTGGTAAAGCATTGTGTAAAGTGAACAACTTTTACAATATGTATAAGATGGGAGTTATATTGAGCCCAGCCCAATGTCACCTGGCTATTCTAAATGCCCTTGAATCTCCTTAAAAAATATTAATTTTTTTATTGAGTTATGACCTAATTGTTTTTAATAGTTCTAACTACTATAATTTAATATTTAATAATAATTTGAAGAAAACATTTCTTCGTGTTGTGTGGTCTTATAAGATGAAGTTATCCTCATACATACTAACTCTATCTTACTAACTTATAACATAATAAAGTTTGTGTTCAGAAGAATCCATTTTATGTTGTTGTTTTCAATACTAGAGTGAATTTACTTACTATACAGTTTAAAGGTAAGAATATCTCTAAAGCCAACAGATAAGTAAATGTATTCTAATATTAAAAATAAAAGAATAGAATGGATTCTTTTGAATGTAAAATTTGGTATGCCTCTGTGAGGTGGAGTCGATACATTTGGGGACTACATCCTATTAATATCAAGATGGAAGGATTAAAAGATTTATACTATCAAAATGATTCCTGATATCAAATATATGATATTAAATAATTGATAAGTGATACATATTACATGATATTACAATAATAAACTATTTTGAATAAATCAAGCTTCTTACAAGTTATCTAATTCTATGTATTCTATAGTTTGTTATTTCTTTTTGCTTTCAAATTGGTCATAGAACTAAGTGTTAGTACTTATTTTAGTTTTGTTTGACTATAAATGCATTTAATACATTACATTCATACTTTAAAAGAATCAAATTTTTTTGTTTTAATGTTTAAATATAGTTTGTTTATTGTATAAATAAATATTATTTATTGAGTATTAAAATTAATTTGCATTCTATTAATAAATAAATTGATAACTAAAGATTAAAATAAATTATTATTTTTATACGTTTAGGTATTTTTCCATAGTGGCAATACTAATAATGAAAAAGACTTTGAAATTTGCTTCCGAAGCGAAAATGTATTTTTACCTAAGAATGGTCATTTTGGTGTATCTGCTGCTACTGGTGGTCTGGCAGGTATTGATCTCTAAATAGAATATTTTTTTGTGTATTTAAACAAGCTTGTTATTAAAAACAATATTTTTCAGATGATCATGATGTTAATCATTTTTTGACATATAGTATTTACCCTCCGGGAACAGTGTTCAAACCAGCTGGTACATCTCAGCAGACTACCGTAGATGAAGAAAATAAACTAACCCGAGAATATGCAGATTACCAACGAAAATTAGATCAAGAAAAAGAAGAGTAAGATAATAAATAAATATTAGTTAACTCTCGTCAAATTAAACTTTGATGTCTTGAGCATATAAATCACCTTCAAACAATTATAACATTTGCTTTTTATCAATTTGAAATTCTCAATTTAACTTCAATCTACCCTGCTTATAGACTGTATTTGTAATAATATATTTTGTTATTTTTATTACTTTGTCGTATTATGTAGTTATCACAAGCAGCATCCAGAAACTAAGACAAGAGAAGATAACGAATTTGAAGATTGGTATGAAACAGATAGTCAAAGAGAATTAAATCAGATATTCTCTGGTCAAAGCCAGATTGTAGATTCTGTAAAAGTATTAAGCCAAAAACTTGATGAAGTTGTTGGTCGTCAAGAACGAACACTCAGTTTGCTATCTAACGTTCAATCTACCATGGCAGTTGTTGGATCAATGGGTAGTGCACAAGGACAACCTCATGGTAACAACTTTTTCCTAACTATTTACATGCATTTATTGATATTTTTTGTTTATTCTATTGTAGTACAAATGCCACAAGGGAATGCAGGAATGGGAAGACAAGATGTTGATTTACTGATTAACAATCAAAATGGAATTATAAACTCTGTGAGAGAAGTCAGGTATTATATTCAAACATTTGAAAAATGTATATAATAGTTAAAATTTTTATTTTTATCAAAAGTTACTTTTTTTACCATCACAAAGAAATAAAAATATTATCTTTCCATTTTAAAGTTATTGGTAAATTGTTTTATAAGAAGTTGTTATTTGTATATTATTCATTAGTTGTGTTATCTAAGCTAATTTTTTCAGATACGCATTACTTATATCTTAAAAGTTCCATTACAAATTTCATTTTCAACTTGTATAGTGAATACACACAATACATCCATATTTGTTTATGAGTGTTTCTTACAATATTTTGGTTATGCCCTAGTGATATTTCAATATTTCATTTAAATTCCTCATACATTAAACATTTTATTTTTACTTTTTTATAGAAATTTAATAGCAGAAGTACATTTAAAGACTGAAAACATTATTAAAAACCAAGCTCATCAGCCAACAGCTCAAGTTCAACCATTAGGCTACGATCAGGCATCAATTATACATGAAATCAGAGACTCATTGAATACCATCAAACGGGATGCAACACAAAAGCCGTATTCACAACAATTGTCTTGTCCTACATGTGCAACCAATACAATTGTTTTGGTTGCTGCAGTGGGTCAAACATTATTGTTTATTATCTATGCTTTCTATAAGTAAGTTAAGACAATGTTAATAGATCTTTAAAATTAGTGGTATTTCCTGTAAAAAGTTTGAAGGATAAATCAACATATCAATTAGTTATTAAAAGGTTCCTCCTCTAAACCAAATTTTGAACTATAAAAATGAAAATCACCCATTTTAAAAATATAGGACTTTAAAATATACCGATTTCATTGTTATTTGTATAAAATAAGTGTTACCATCACTATTTTCACAATTTAAAAATTCCATAATTTACTGTAGATGTTTTTTTTAAATAACCATCAATATTTGCAGAACAATTCTCTACATAACTTTAAAGAATAGTATAACTTTTTTAACTGTATTTTTCACATTGTATAACACATGTTTATGATTTAACACATTTCAACTTATGACTGAAGATCGAGGAAAAAAGTAAAATACTTTTACATAAATTTCACTTGCTTCTAACCTGTCATTGGTATCAGTGTTAGCATTTTGCTAATATTTAACTTTTATTAAAAACCATTTTTTCATCTAATAATAAACTGTTTTGAGAGTACAATATGTGCCTCTTTTTGAAACATTAAGACAAAAGTAACTACATAAAAAAAATGAAATAGATAATATCACTTTAAATAAAAATAACGTTTTTTTTCTCAATTTCCAATTACTAACATTAATTCAACTCTTAAAAGGTTATGAATTGAATAAGATATAGTCCTAATAAATATTTGGTTTACTTGTGAACAAGAACTTATCATTAGTTACATCTATCTTAAAGTATAAATTACCATCTAAAACAGTCGTAACTTTTGATATATTTTCATGTGCATACATTCTGTATTTTTCTCATATAAAAAGTCTTAACTTGGGTTGCGTCTTTATAATTTTCAAAATAATAGGATGTAACTTAAGAACTGCTGTTAATAAAAAAAGATAATTATGAAAATACAAACATTTTTTGCTTGCTCTAAATCAACTAAAACAAAAAAAATTGAGTTACATCCTTCTTTGTAAGGATGTCACTTTGTTTCACTACTCTCAACTCATTAAATAGGAACGAAAAACTGACTATTTTACAGGGTGCTAACACAATACCAATCATGTTACATATAAAAACGCTACCTACTGTGGATTAATTAAGTTTATGGGTCTCTAAAAAGTAAGGATAGGCTTAATGTCTAACTTCACTAATTTCTAGACACACCACTGTTTTAAATGTGTCTAGAATTCAGAATCGTTACTTTATGAATCCAAATCATATTATTGCATGAATACATTCTTAATGTCATAATGATTGAACAATATTACCTTTCCTCATGTGACAAAAATTGTTGTTCGTGTCATTTTAATGATAATATCAAGCAGATAATATCTTATGTTTTTTTATTGGCTGAGTAATTGTTTTTTGTTTCAGGAACAGTAAAGAATCACAAGCTAAGAAATTCTATTGAACCTTTGAAATAAGAACAGAACTATCATAATACTATGTATATAATTAGGAGATTTCATTAATTATTGCTATTGTGTTAAAATGTAATTGATACCTCTTATGAATAAGATAATAGTAAAAATGTCTTTTTTTGGTACAAGGATGAATCTGCATGATAAATCTACCAAAATAGTTTTTTTTTACCATGTAATTAACGACTTATTATTTAAACTAAGATCATTTTTTTTAAGGTTGTTTTACTTTTCATTACAATAAGAATGTGTTGTGATCTATAAAATAAAAATTATAAAATAAATTTATTTAATTAATTATTTGATTTAAAACTGTTGTGTAGGCTAAATTTGGATTCATGTTGATTTGTTACTGACTACAACAATAAATGTATGTTATTTTGATATTTTTTTTAAAATTATTTGAAATGGAAAATAAAAACCAAGAAACAAGTTAATAGTTGTTAATAATTTATTATTTTAATGCATTGTCAATAATTGTTTTGTAGAATTGATTTATAGTTTTATAGGTAATAACCGTTTAGATTTAATTAGTAACTTACAATATTATATAAATATATAGGTCAATTGGTATTATTATAAAATAAAATGTTTTTAGTAAAAGTAAAAAAATTAAGAACACATGTAAGAAGGTTAACTTTAAAAATAAGACAGGCTTTATAGGTTTTTGGCGGTAAAATATTCATAGCCTGGTTTAAAATGTTTGTTAATACTTAATACAATTATAGTAGGCCCTGGCAATATATTCAAACATGTCGTTATGCAAAACAATATAAATATATAATATTATATATGGTATCGTTGGGCTGTCATTAGTAGGTACACATAATAATTGCCACAACAATTAGGTATTTCATAAAAAAATAACAAATCTATTGTGTGAAAAATATGCATTAGATTAACGTGCAAGTGGACCCATGCATGACTTCTGATAAGAACATCGGTGTACCAGCTCCGAGACCACCATCTGTCTTCTCCTGTTCGTTCTCTTGATCATACTCACAATCAAAGTACCGACTCTGCAAACAAAAAAAAAAAAAAACACACAAAACTTAAATATGATTCATTTTGCATCAAAACAGTAGCCATGCTTTATCTTTTCACATAGTTCGAATAAGTTACACACTTTATCAACTGATTAATTCGTCGAAGGTGGACAGCATTAAAATATTAAGGATGTAACATATTCTAAAGGTATTCTTTAATGTTCAAAGACAATTTTTTAAATTGAAAGTTGTTAATTTCTGCTATAAATGTATTATTTTACCTATTCAACTGTTGGTTGATAGTACCCACTTAGCCTTAGTAATATTAGCTGATTTGTTCTATCCATCAATATCTAATGATCATTTATCATGGTTCTACATTTCTACTGTTAAATTATGAAACCACTGCCACTGATATCTCCTGCAAACGGTACCTGTATGACCAGTAAGCAGTTACACTACATATTTGCCTATATTACATTTTATTTTTATCGTGAATCACTGAACTAAAAGTACTAGGCAAAAGGAATAGAGGACGTCCCTTTACTCGATTTATTGGTCAGATCAAAGATCTAACCGTAATCGTGGAAAGCATAGAAAATCGAGTACCTAGTTTGGATGAACATCAATTATAATCATACATTTCTTAAACGGTTGCGACGTTCGAAATTGAACTACCTTACGTAGAAGAAGAATACAATACAATTAGTTAGGCACAGTTAGTATTTTTATGAGTTCAATAATATTAATATCGCTTACCGGCTAACAGTTTACCCACTCATTCTTTTCATGTTTCATTAATTTCATTTACAAAAAATGTAGGTATATACTAAAATATTGTAATAGATATACAAGCAATATGAATGTTAATAAACAAATTTATTAATTTTGGAATTGAGAAATATGTTCAGTTGTAGTGATAAAATAGTTGTGCGTGTAGAGTAGGTACAAATATCCTAATTTATACCTAGTACCTTCCTACCTACTTAAAAGTTAAATTTTAAATATTATTTTCGCTGGTTTTGCGAACTTATTTGTATAGTTTGCGAACAACAATGCAGTCAAGTCTGTAAGTAGGTTGGTATATAAGGTACATTTATATAATAAGAAATAACAAACATAACAATCAATAATATTATAATTTACAATACCTACACAATACACGTTACGCCACTACAACGAATCGAGTAGAATAAAATATATTATGACTTATGAGAAGGTGGCCACTATAACGACTGACGTAAGACATTTTTTAAGGATAGTAGGTAACCTACTTACAGACGGCTATTGAACGCAAGTACCTGACGATAAAACTATTTTTTAGTGTTCAAGATACATTATTATATACATCAGTAGATTTATATGTTTATTTGTTGCTAAATAGCTACGACTTATCAACATAAACTCCATTTTATTTCCATGTAATATCGATATTATAGATTAATAGGGCTAAATAGCTGGCTGATATAGAACTATAACTCATAAGTTTAGGTAATAATTAGTATTATATTGTATTGTTACTGACTATAGCATTTATTGCTGCAGGTACCTACTTGGTAGGTACTATAGTATTCATCTATGCCTAAATACAGAACTTAGGTATTTGTATATTTTGAATGTTGGTGTATTAACTATCAACTATAAAAGTTGATCTCTAACCATTCCAATACTAATATTGTACTGCAATAGCCAATAGGCACATTATATATGAAGGGGAAAACAAATACTTTTTCGAGTAAGTACTGATAGGTATAAGCCATAAGGTTCCAAGTAAAAATATATTTTTTAAATTAAAATACGCACCTACTCAGGTAATCCGAATACCTACTTTTTTTTATGTTGTAGAATATATTCGAAAACAAGATATAAGTATTCTTTACTTATAGTTGGGTTTATATAGGTGCCGATCTATAGTTAAATGAATTGCCGATGTTTTATTATGAATATGAAATAGATTAGATTCATAACATTGTTATAAACTTATAAATAAAGGATTTTCAGAAGTTCTGTTCCATTATATAGGTACCTATTTTGGTTTCTACTCATTGTATTTTGTAAATAGTATCATACTATTATCACAAATTATATTGATAATAATACAATATAATATATATATTTAATATAATCTGTGCTATTATAGGTATCGTGATATCAAAAGTATTCCATATTGCAATAGGACATAAGAATTGAGGGACTGTAAAATGGTTCAACTAAAAAACAATTATGATGTGTCAACATTTTGAAATCATAACAAAAACCGAGAACAATATAGAACCTTTAAACGTTTCCCAGATCGGAAATATATCAAAGCACTCAGAAAAACACACAAATAAAATAATATAAAGTAACTAAGCATGGCGTTGAATACTATAAGACTCTAGGTTGGTCGAATTTGATCGGTGTAGCACGAAGTGGGATTTATCATTATTTATTTATTTTTTAATTGGCAGGGTGACACTTACAAACAATGCAATTCCTTTATTTACGACCAAAACAAATTATATCAAATAAGTGGTTCAATATAGGACGGAATTAACTGTATATAATGTATATACTGTAAGATTGTTTATCAAAACTGTCAATAACAAAAATAATAATATAATGCAACAACAATCTTTAATGGACTTGTATGTATACAATATACATTGCTAGCTCGCAGTTCGCTCGTATCATATAAATTGAATGTAGCTATATGCCTATAATATGTATATAGTATCGTTTTACCATTGAGTAATGACAGAAAGATAAATTTTTCGAGTACATATAACGATACATTATTATATCCGTACATATTTCGGAAACAGACGTATGTAGAATATTTTGTGTTTTGAATGTTTGCATAGAAAAAATGGGTAGCATTTGAAATGAGCGAGGCTGGAGAAACGTAAGTAATATATAAAAATTTGCACCTACGCTATACTTTTATTTTTAGAAATAAGATCAAGATGGCACCTTGAATGCAACGATATATTGTTCTGAGTATCTGCAGCCCACGCCTACAGAACACAGATATGTTTTATAAATTATCCGGAAGACTTGAAAATGGAGGAAAACTTTAAGAAATGTATGATATGGTTGTCAAGACAAATTTTTACACCTACAAACCCAAAATATTTTGAAGTACGCATCATGTAAATTTCTTGGGGGAACTTAAATGGAAGTCTATTTCAATTTAATCACGTTATAAAGTCATATTATGCTAGCTAGGTACATAAATAATAATTAGATTTCGGTGATCATGATACATTTGTATTATATTATAGAAGATTCAATATTAAAAAATCATAATTTAAGGTATTTCAGGTACAAGTTTTGTGTTGATTGTTTTTTTACTAATAATTTAGTTTTAGTAAAGTTAAAATGAGGCTAATAATATCATCATTTTGATTAAGCAAATAAAATGATAGAAAAATGTGTTATTAATAATAATAACTTATTACAAGATGGAATTGTTTTGCCAGGCCATTACATTAAATTATGTTATTTAAGCACCTACCTAAAGCTTTATAAGATATTTTTTTGAAATTTAATTTTTCATAGGAAAAATTAAAGAAACAATAATTATATTCATAATATAGTTGGGCACGTTCAGTATTTGAAGTTTGAACATACTCAACAAAAAATGTTGATCTTTATTAACTTTAATATGACAAAACGCCAAAACAGTCATATTTTTATAAGCTACTGCCCACTAATATTTATAAATTATTTTGATATTTTTCTGGAAATTGAATTTTACCTGGCATTCCAGACACCTGCAGTGGTCGCTCATCTTGCACGTAATACCCCACTGGGCAGCGACCGCCTTATAAAACTCCTTACTGCTCTTGTGAAATATTTCTTGTCTTACAGGCGAGCCATTACTTTGACATTCGATCTCAGAGTTACACGATTGCTGACCACTTCCTCCTGCGCAAATGTCATCATCCGTGACCATCTGCTGCAGATGACCACCTTGATCGGAAGATTGTCCTGGCTAATAATAAAACCAAAAAACAAATTCGATACTTGAGTTTAATATGATTTATGTGCAAAACATAATCACTATACCTATCACAAAATTGTAAACGATATAATATAATTAATACATTTTATTATAAGTTAGCAATTTTAATTTTATGTATAAACTTAAAGGAATACCTACATTATGTTAACAGCTGGATGTTTATATAAATAAACAATACGTAGTAGAAGTTTCAAATTTGTTATGTTATTTAGCCTGACAATTATAATAACATTTATTTTGAGGTTAAATACGGAATAGTATATTAAACATTGTCATTTGCATAGCTACAAATAGCTCTACCTAAGAAGTTTAAGCCTTACATGACATATTTGATTCAATTTGGTCTTTAATGTTTAATGAAAATGTGCTTGGACAGTATACCTGTCAAGTCAAGTAAAAAAAAAATGATAGTAAATGCGAATGTGATTGCTTTAATTATAATCATGTATCGTTTCATATTTGTAAATAAAAATAAAATACACAAATAAAATAAAATAAATAATAATAAATAATAATTAATACATTAATAAAATACATTAAAAGTTTCAAGTACTCGCGAATAATATTTTTAAGTATTACAACAATATAACTAAAATCGTTATTCTTGGTTATTAAATAAGTAATTTCGTCCAAATTTTAACTTACAATAATTTTACGAAAAAATGGAATTTATATATTTTTTAAATTTTTTAGTTACAGAATAAACTCATTGGAACTTATTTTTAATTGTTCAATCATTAGCTATAAAATTCGAACGTTTTAAACGTTTTAAACATTTTTAACTACTAAATAATTTGTACATTTTCAATTTAATACATTTTGTCAAAACTTTAACTTTAAACGCTAATTAAAAAAAAAAATGGTGGCTATTTATTTTTTATGCTTTTCCACTGCTATTGTAATAATTTATCAGGACCATTGTATTATATTTTAAAGCTTTTTTAAATAATTAAAAACATTTTATTGAAATATATAGAGAAAAGAACTAAACATTTAAAACGAACATAAACAGCTCATAAACGAGTCCAAATCATTTGATAATTTTATTAATTATAGAAAATTATAAAATAAACACCACGTGATGGACATTTATTTCAAGTATCTAAGGTTATTCGTTTTTGAATTACAACAAAATAAGAAAATCACTTCATCAAAAATCAAGTGAATATAAAATTTTGTAGAAATTTGAACTTCAAACGCTCATAAATATTTAATTTGACTTTCCGGTAGACATTTTTTTTTTTTTTTGATAGAAATAGACTAACATATATAAACATATAAGGCATTTTGTATTACATTTTCAAATCTTAGATTTAAAAATAACAATTTTTATGGATTCCAACCTCAAAATTATTTTTCAATTTTTCTTGATTTTTACGAATTTTGTCAAAATTTAAACTAAATAAACCTTATAAATACAAACCATTTTGGAGGGAGCTACGGTTTGTCTTGGAGAGCTCCCAAAATTTGGCTTATGCCTCTGATAGGTACCAATAAGGTATTATTTAAAAATGTTTTTATTAGGTAATTTTCTAACCTAACCTAAACCTTTATTCATAAACCATAATGATATCAGATATTATATAGGTATGGCCTGAATATAATGAGTCTGACTAAAAAAAGTTATATTCTATTAGTATTTTAGAAATATATATTGTAGGCATATAAGTATAACTATATTAATACCACGTTTTATTTCCTGTCGACAAAAGTGATAATTAATAATTATCAATTTATCTGGATCGATGTAGGACCTATTTAATTAAAAATGTGAATTTTCGATATTTAATCTTTTTTTATTAACTACTTAAAATGTATGCTTATTGGTTATCGCCGCATATAATTAAACTTAAAAAATGATAAATATTAGGTAAATTATTTATACAAACATCGATATTATAGTATTATTTAGTAAATTTACCTCCTGCAAACTGTGCTCATAACTCGGCGGCGGCGACGAGGGAATTTGCTGTAGGCCCATGCAATCCATACTGCTGCAACCAGGTGAACACGAATCCGAGGGCTGTTTCTTGCTTTTGTCTTTGCAGTGTTTTTTCCTCTCTTTTTTCATTTTAACGCTGCTGCAGTTCGCTTTATTTAGAGGGCAAAACGTAACGATGTTTATTATTATTTCACGCATGCGTGTACAATATGATATAAAACATCGAAAACGTTAAAATGAGGATAGGTGAGGTATAGGTACCTATTTTTTTCGATAATTTATTACATCTATAGAGTGCACCTTATATACTTATATAAGTATGCACAATGCGATAAACTCGATAAAAGTTGTATACAAATCCAATAGAATATCAAAAACTGTGACAGTAATAATAGTTTTTTTGCGAGAACGATGCAAACATGACTGCCGAGGGGAGGCAGCAGCGAACAACTACACTGGCGACACTGGCCTCCGCAGTCGCTAGTCAGTGCGACTTACACTATAATACTACAGCTGGTATCTACATAGGTTACACTATAATAATATGATATTATGTTATAATTATTCGTGGAGTTGCAAAGGTGGTACACTGATTCCTAACTGAGGTATTTATACATTTAATGATGTTTATCGGTTGATTCAATAATAATTATGATTATGTATGCCCCAAAAAAATGCAACAGTTATGTATTTGTACATAGTATTGTATATACAATATACATATATAATAACATGCATATAACTATACGAGATATTTTACACTAGGGACTAGAAATAAATACTAATTAAATACAAATCTAAATATAAAGCGTTCCTATATAATATAGGTAATGTATAATATAATATCATTAGTGATGGTTAACAGGAGCGTTTTAACCTTTTTTCAAAATTTTGTGTTTATATTATCATAATTATTGTTGTTTAACCATCATTATGATCTGAGTTGATCATTGAAAATGTATTTATATACCTACATCGAACACTTATTCATTTAAATATTTACTATACCCATTTATACTATCCATTATTACAATTTAAATACTTTCTTCTTTCTACCATCAAAGTAATTGCTTATAGATATTACTTATACCTACTTATTAAAATTTGGTCGGGGGAGCAGAAACGACTAAATTTCACTTGAAAAATACTAATACACCCAGTCACATTTTAAAGTTTTCATTATGAGACAATTTTTTTCGTTATAGAAATAGAGGGAAATCTCATGTGCAGTTATATGCTTGTAGTTTTGAGTTAATGTTTTAAAGATGTTGACTAGAATATTGTTCAATTTAGAGAGCAAATTAAAATACATAGGGCCTTAAAGAATGTTTTTATACAATTTAAAATGTCTAAGTTGAGTTATATTAAGACATACGACAGTCGCTTCCATTACCTACCATTCATTGCCTATACCTATATTATAATATGATAATAATTATTGTTTATTTTTCTCTATTGCATATTTTATTTTCCTATTATACCTGCCTACATAGGTATACATATATTAAATACATACACCAATCACAAGTTATAATGCTATACAACACTTATAAAATCAAGTACGACTAACAGAAATCAACATTTACGAACAAACTATAAAGAGGAGAGTCAATAAAAAAAAATTAGCAGGGAGGCGCGAAAATTCCGAATATAAATGTATGTACTTTGCGACACGCAGTATGATGTATACCTGTGCGATATAATACGTCCATCGGTGTTATTATTATAACAATATTAATCATTATTGTTATTATTATTATTATTTATAACTGCGCGCGATACACGCACGGAACTTACGTGAGATCAATGGAAACAACAGATCGCATCAATCGTTCGGGCACGAATACATCGGCAGCTATAATAAGCGCGTGCGATATTATACTCGTAACTCGGTGCAAGCACGCGAACACACTCACACGAGCGCAGCTTGCGCACACACACGCGCACACACACGTCACACACACGCACACACACGTCACACGGGCCCACACTCTCACGACCGTCACGAGAGCCGGTCGCACGACGTATGCAGTACGTGTATAATAGTACGGTGTTTACGCGGTCGTAATAAGACTCATACACACGCGCTTGTGTGGGCTTAGCGCTGTGCGTGTGGGTCTGCGTGTCTGTGTGATGTAGACGCCTCCGAAACGATGTTACACCGTTATTGATCTATATTGTAGCGCGGGATCCGTCTTAGGGCGCACACTCGCCCAAGCCGTACACACGCACACACGTTGTGTATACGTATACGTGAGCGCGCGCAGACACTACGTCGGCGGCCGGGTAGGTAGTCGTAAATAATAAATAGGCATTAAAATGTACACTTAAGTCCCCGTCCCGCAGCCGTTGTGGAGGGTTAACGTAGTTTTTCGACCGCCGCCGATCACTATATTAATTATAGGTATGTTCGTGTCACGCGGAAACGCGCACAAGACGTGATATAATAATATATGCCGACCGCGTGAGATAATATAATATTATTCACTGCGATGTCACATGAAATAAAATAATGCTTAATAGTACCTGTTTACAAATGTACTATGATATTGTTGTTATGATATAAGTCGAAGACTCGAAGACAAGTACAAGCTTTCATTTTAAACATATTACATTGTGTACATAAGGGTCGGAATTATTTCTATGCTCAAATATTCAATAAACCATAGACATATTATAATTCATAAGACCCTTTTAGGCCAACATACCGTGGAGATGAACGACAGTTCGACGACAGGAGTTCCTGAACGATAAAGAAACTAATATTGAGAGAAAATAAGAGATGCGACATTTGACAATAAATGTATCAGTATTCAGTTGAATTGGTTTATAGATTTCTATACAATTTCCCATTATCCCTAAGTCAATATAGTCCATAAGTCATATTATATCAATGACTATATATACACAGGCACACAGCCATAAGAAAATAGTATAGTGATTAATATATACTCAATATTATAATCAGTCAATCAGATACACTTATCCATTCTTATGGTCCATGCAATTTTTTTTTATATAGCTTGTAATAATATTTAATAGTAGTGCGATTAATAATATTATTATTAGTATTAAATTCTTATCATGATTGAATATTTATAAATTGGATTATATTTTGATCTGTTTTTTGGAACCGATATTTTTTTTTTAGCCTTTGCCCCGAAAGTCCGGAACTAGGTACTTATAATGTCAATGTAACAAATAAACTGTTGTATGAATTTAATAAAAATCCTTCGTGTATTTATGTTTACACATGAGCACAATATACATTAGACTATAAATAATTTAACATAACCTAACTAGTGTATATAGAAAATTATAAAACCTATGCTTTATATCATGTCCTGTAGTATACCCAATGGTGGAAAATATCAAGTCCCTGTAATTAATATTCATGCTTGACTTGAAAAATCAACTATTATTGCTATTTTTTGTTAAAATATTATATTCGATTTTGTCAAAAACCAATTTCAAAAATTTGTTGTACAAAAAAATTGTCCACATTTCAAATAGGTACCTATTAAACAAAATCATTCTATACAGTTTGTAATATTTTACCTATTATAGGATTTATTAAATTGTAACAAAATCCTTTCGACGGAAACTAGGATTTTTTTTACCATGTTCGGGTATTTTACATTTTTAAAATGGGGCAAGTGTCCTAAGGTGGCAAATGTTCAAAGATATGTATGTTCGAAAGGGGCATCAATGAAAGTTAGCACGGTTTTGATTATGCCCTTAAACGGTTTTGAAAATCATCAGTGGTATACAAAATAGGCGCATAGAAGAAGTATTCGGTAGACTTCCCGCAGCCTGTGCAATACTATTATGTATTAGTACCTCGAGGTTCTGTTCTGAATTCACGAAAAAAAGTTCACCCTGTACAAATTATACTTTCTACATATACCGCTGCAGATGTACACGTTATACCCCTCCCCCCACTCTCTGCCACCCTTAAATCTACCCTTTCCGGCTATGGCAATTCCTCCCCCTCCGTTTCTTTTTTAGCTGCACCGCGCCCTGCTCTGCTGCGGCATGTAGACCTTTACGCGCGGCGGCGCGCTCGATGTGCCTTTGACGGACTTTTCGTTAGCAAGACAGTAGACGCCTGCGCGCCGCCTCTCTGTTTATACGTGATATATTTATATGTGCTAGCCTGTATATGTTCTACAACACCTATATAATAGTTTCGGCCAAAATGAAAAAAATACGATTTACCGATTTGACCGAAAAAATAATACCTACCATAACACTATAAAACTATAACACGAAACTTTTTTGATCAAAATTTTAATGTTCGACGTTTAAATACGCGAAAAGGTGATCATTGACTTGTTTAAACGTTAAAATTAAGTACAAAAGTTAAATTTTTTTAAACTTTTTAGCTTGACTAGTTACTTCATTCTCAACCCAACTGTCCCAACTTTTGACCTTAACTAGTATAATTTACAGTTGAAATAACTTAGCTTTTCTCAGGTGATTTAAAAATAGTTCATCAAGTAAAACATTTTTTCAAATTTTTGGTTTTTATGGTTTTATACGTAAATATTAATATTGAAATGAAAATAAAAGTAAATCAATACTACAAAATCTATCTTTTTTTATGTACCTATAATTATTCATAAAGAAATAACCTTAAAGACTTGAAATGTTCACCTGTTTAAATACATGATATAACTTACAATGGTTTGGCTATTCCTTTTTTTTTTGCACATTTGAAATGTTCTATTTTTTTTTTAGTTTCTGAGAGCAGCGATTGTATTGATTTTACAATGATGGGTGTGTGTAGTGTGTTTTTTTGTCTATGTTTAGTAAACGATAAGTGATCGAAATATATAATGCTTCGATTATCAACTTCAGTAACTTTTCTAATGGGAAAGTGTATTCGGAGTGTAAAATAAGTGATTAGAAGTTTTCAAAATCGTCGGGAAAGACAACAAATTATTATGGAAAAACGTATAACTATAAAAAAAATTAAATAAATTACAGTTATAAAAATTGTAGTTATTAACATTTTCAATACACTATCAACATTTTTTTATTCTTTTTGAGCTATTTATATAGGTATAAAAAAATTTATTGTATTAGTTTTTTAAATTATTGTTCATAAAAAAATATTTGTTCCGTCAAAAAGCTTGAAAATTTAATATAATAGGTTAGGTTAGAGAGTGAAGTAAATATTTTGACAAAATTATGAAAATCGCGAAAATTCGCAAATTATTTTAATTAAAAATTCATAAAAATGTCTTTCTTTATCTAAGATTGGAAAATATATTATTTTTTTACACACACAAGTATGCAACGACCTTTTTAAATGCAACTTTTAGGAAATAATTAATTTAACCTATTGCGTAGTACTTATGGCTAAATAATAGAAAAATAAATTATTTTATTCACAATATAATAATATCATAAAATATACTTAATAATATTATAGGCTGACAGACAGTTTTCGCTTAGAATCGTTTTTCGGATACAATGATTTCATATCATTGAATTACAATTTAACACAGCTAGTACAGTAACTTCTCTATAGACACCTAATATACAGCAAAGTGTTACCACTTGCCAGCTTATTTTGGAGGTCAGTGAACTTGAAAATGTACTAGGTAGTAGGTCCTCAAAAGTTTTTCATACAAAGCAGTTATAGAATTTTTGAAATGTAGTCACATTTATTTTTATAAGCTTCAAATGTTGTCAAAATTAGTTAATCAAACGTACAATAACAATTTTCCTTAAGTAATTAGTGTTTAGGTTTACTTATAAATTATAATTAAGACAAATTAATATAAATAGTAGACATTTTAAATATTTTACTGTTAGGTAGCTGATACCCAAATGCCTAAGAAATTATCATTTTTTATATACAGTAGTTAATTATTTTAAATATTTAGTCTAATTTTAAGCTATTTATATCGCGAACCTATTCACGCCATTCTACAGTATATCGGCATTGACTTATAAACTACACGTGATATTTTGGCAATAATTCTAGTTAAAACCTAATTGAACCTATATCATATTAAAAGGATAGAAAAATAACTAATACCTACAGTAATATAATTTAGTTATGAAATATTCTTGTAGTTATAATCCTGGCTCACAATCGTCTGTCATCACTAAGATACGAGGATACTCGTATATTCAATTATTTAAGTCAAATTCAAATATTTGATACATCCATTACAGTCACCTGCTCAGGGTATACTAGAAATCTACTATGCACAGCAGAGCTACAATTCCCCGAGTATTTATTTGATAAGCAACAAGCAGATACAAATAGTATGTACCTATTGTACCTAGTATACCTATTTATAGACTAGTATAGTATCAATATAGTTTGCAATCCCTATCATTTTAGTTATGTATCTTTGATCTTTTGTTGGAAATTAACACAAAACATTTGATTTATCTTCTTTTTTACCGAAATTAGTATAGAATTAAAATTATGTTAAACAAAGAATACAAGGTAATTTACTGGAACGTGTTTCACTCTAGTCAAATCAATGCCTAAGGAATCTTAGTATAAATATTTGGTGATAATTTGACTGTCGGAAAATTGGTAGTTGATACAGGCGTTACAAACCAGGGTTTCTTAAACTATAAAAAAAAAATCTTAAGACATCTACACATTAGATAAGTAATACATGATATCGTAGGGAAGTATTAATCTAATCTATACAACTACAAATGACAATATTGACAACGATGAATAAAGGGTTTCATGCTACCTATAGTACAACTGCAACGTTCAACTTATTGCCACTTGTCCATCATTTTTAATTTTGTCATAATGGAAAGTTTTAAAACTGTAAAGTGAAATGAATTACTAATTACTGCAGTGCGAGAATTATTCGTATGTAATTTTAAGAAAAATTTATAATACTATTCGGTGGAAATGTTCAGGAAATACAACATTAAAATGTCCGTAAAAAATTACAACGAATTTAATTAAACCCGTAAGTTTTAAATTAGTAATAATTTATATTATTGTAAGTATTGTAATGTATTATATAAGGTGAAATCATTAATTTTATTTCAGTACATAAACTATTCAAATATAATGCCACATAATCACACTTCAAATAATAAAATTGGCGAAATATTTGTTATTAAACATAATATAAAATAAGAGCCTTAGACACACGAGAAATTTCAAGTCAAATCCATCATGCACAATATTTCTGGTTGGATGGTTATTTTTAATATTAAATTAATATTAGTATTTTTTTAATTGTCTCCATTAAATAATTACCAGTTACGTAAATAGAGAAATTACAATGGACATTTTTTTAAATACTATAGGGAAATTATTGTGAAATATTGTGAACTATTTTTATTGTAACTGCATGTTAATTTTTGATACTTATATAGGTAGACATATGTTTTTTTAAACATATATTTATTTTTATTTAATTTTTTGAACCACTGAAAACAATATATTTTATAGTACCAATATTCCGCCTTTTTAATTTCTTTTGTGCAAATCACAATAACCGTACCAATTTTCCGTTTACACAATACTGATTTATGTCTTTACAGTTATTAATTTTTTAATTACAGAAACAAACCCTACAAGGCATAACAGACATTTCTTTCAACTGGCAATTTTTAGTGGGAAACTCAGGAACTGTTCAAGTTATAGTTTAATATTGTTAACACATAGCAGGTATGACATATAGAAACATTTGAGATGAATAGTGTTTTCGGTAAATGTATTCATTGCTATATTATGTATTTATGTGCCTATATGGCTATATATACGATACAAATAATGTTCTCATCTTTCAGTTTGTTATTATATATCAAGTAACTCTAATATTGACCTTAGTGGGATGGTGCTTGTATAGTGTTGGACTTAAAAGAAGTGTGTATTTGCCCCAAAGTTGCGCCTGTCTGCAGGACCAACAACAGTTTACAATACGAAGCATCGCGCTCGGAAGCTATATAATTATTTTAATAATTAATACTAGACATACAAATAATCTATAATACTATAACTATAGGTATAGTTTATTTGCATAGGTAAGACTATAACCAGCTATATGAGCTATATGACGTATTGAAATATTGAGTTTATCTCTCATATTTTTATGAAAATACAATTATTGAACCAATTTGTTATTTAAATATATATATTTTTTATCATTTAATGATTAATCAACTTAGTGTAGGTTTATATATTTTATATTTTACACAAATATATATTATTGATTTATTAAAAGATTTATGATATAACACACTTTACTACTTTGATATGTAATATAATTATATAAAATATCAATTTATTTTCGGTTTTTTATATCATGAAAATCTGTTATAGGAAATTAGGAAATATCAGTTGCCATTCTGTGTGTAGGTAATGTATCTATACCATAAAAGTAAACATAGGTATAGCCGTAAATGTCCAATGGCTATCGCAGACAAAAACTATATTTAACGATGGTAAACCCTAAACATAATATATTTTTCCAAAATAAACAAACGTTTACGCTTGTAAATTGTAAGTAACGTAATATAAGACCGGGGGGCGCTTGTCAGTCGTCACCTAGAATTGCGCAGGGTCATTTCTGTTTGATTTTAAGTTCACAATATGTGAACATATATATTGCATATTATAGGCTATAGCTTAAGTCAAGTCGATTATTTATAGAACATATTTTGATCTGACACAGCGAATAAATAGGTAATTAATTGGTATTTACATTTATGATTATGAGGTACAACTTAAAGCAAATAGATAATTTAGCTATGTGCGATGTGCCTTGTGCCTATGTAGTATGTATATATTTTTCAACATTTAGAACACAAAAGCTTGACTACGGATTGGTCGTAACTCGCTTTGAAAAATGTGTGTTACGTGTTAGGTACCTTTAAAATGAAACTTAATAAGATTCAATAGTACCTATGTATTTTTTGCATTATAAATTAACCTTATATACCTTTTTACCTTCACCCATTAAAGCTGGAAGGGTTTGATGGTCAGTGACCTTACCTCAAACCAAACTATCCTATCACTTTTCATGGGACATTTTAAGATTCTTATTAATTATTCAACTTCCTCTCCTCAAGACTAAAAACGTCAGATTCAATGGTCGAAACTAAAAATTAAAACACGTAATATAGCCATAAAATATTTTAAAATTTCACCACACCTAACCTCATCCAGAAATAAAATTCTATAAGTCCTCCAATTCTATCCATTCAATAACATAGATACCTACCACTAGGTACCTATTATATTTTAAATTTTAATATTTAAGTGTCATTTAGGTACAATTTACAGGTAGATGGGAAGGCCATACAGCCATACTAATTACATTTAGGAAACACATTTGAAAAATACTTATACTTATTGTTATTTTATACTTGAAACGGTGGGCAAGTGAGTAGGTTCCGCTATGCTGTACTATTATAGTATAATAATAATAATTATAATAATAATAGGGGTCTTGTGGGTCACTGAAAAGGATGTGTTAAATTTTAATTGAATGATAAATCATTGCGCAAACGAAAAACGATTTTGAGCGAAGACGGTCTGTCAGCCTGAGTACATTTTATGATATTATGATGATTAAAGTAATTTAGGTAGGTACTTTACTATTAGGTAGATATTAGTACTACAGTAGATTAACTTTTGCCAAAAAAAAATACATTTGAAAAGGTTTTTGTGTGTAAACTATTTACAATACAATAATGTTCTTTAAAAATCTCAAGTATCCACGAATTATAGAATAATATTTTTAAAAGACAACAAAAATTCTAAAATTGTTATTTTTGGTTTTAAACGTTAATGAGTACCTAATTTCGTCCAAATTTAAACTTAAAATATATTATGTAAAAAAAACTACGTTTGTAACTACATATTTTTGATTTCAGTATGAACTATTAATGAGAATTCTTGTTTCAGATTTTTAATTCTTAGCTATAAAAATTGAATATTTTATAATTTTATAACTACAAAATAATATGAATATTTTCGAGATTTTTATAAATGTTTTTATAATTTTAACTTTAAATACACTTATAGAAAAAAATTGTGCCTGTGGTTCTTTAATATTTATTAACTGCTATTATAACAACTTATAAGGAACTTTGCATTAAACCCAAATAAATTTTGTTAAAATTCTGGTTTTTCTTTAATTATTATTTTTTGAATCCCCACTTTTTTGAAAATTACTGGGAATTTTATTATTTAACCAATTAAAAGTACCGATTAAATCCAATTTATTATCAGGAACCACTCTCAAAGTTGGAAATTAAAGCTGTAATAGTTTTTTTTTGACAATTTATCATGTATGCACACACAAAAAGAAGAAACACACATTATGTCACTACCTATTATAAATTACTAAAATCAATACACATATAGCTCCATTCAGAATCTAAAATACAAACCCTAAAAATATAGTTATTTATGCAAGTCTAATACCAATTTATACAAATATCTATCTGTTGACTTTGTCTCCACTCAATTAAATAAATATTTATGAATAGTATAAAATATTTATAAATATATTACATAAAAGAAATTGCTTGGAAAATCAGTATTTAAAATTACTTGAAACGTTTTTTTTTTTAAATATACTTATAGATTTATATTTAAAAGATAAATAATAAATTTGTATTTAATCGTTGATGGGTAGGATAGGTATGCTATGTATACAATGCACAGAAACATGGACTCTATGGGGTCTGGAACAGGTATTCCTATTTAAAGGTTAAGGGAATTTTATCTTAAGCTAAACATCATAGTAATGTATGAAGTAAATGTTAGTTAATATCTTAAGTTTTATCAAACTTTGAGTACTGAGTCATGTGATTATACATTTAAACATTACCAACAAATTTATGTTTTGTTTACATTTTTTTATATCCCAGTAAGGAAATTAAAATTATTTCTGTCATCATAAAATATCCAAGTGCATGGGACATAGACAAATTTACTATAAAGTTCAAATCTAGATATCTTCAGTAGTTCAGAAGTTCAGTTTCTTAAATCTATTTGAGTTTTCTAAAAAACTATTTTTTCTACTATCAAATTAAATATATATTTAAGTTAAAACTAATAAATAATAAGCAAAAACAATATTTTGGCAAATATTTTTTTAAATATGTATTTTGTATAAATATATGTCAAGTATATGTGTACTCGTTGTAGTATAAGAAATAGTAAATAAAAAAAAAACATTTTTACAATTGTATTGTTTCAACAATTTTAAGTCACAGTGGCATAATACAATATTAAATTAATGAATAACAATAAAGCCAGATCCTCCAATGGTAGTTACTATTAAATTATTGTGAAAGCGTGAGCGTAGCTATCATGAGAAACATAGTGTGGACCAGGCTTAAACAATTGAAGATGTATTGGAACCAAAAACAAATATTTTAACATTATAATATAAGTTGTAACAAAGTTGATAATAATAAGAAGTGTCTATTACATAATATTTCTAAATGTTTTAATAGTAATATTATATAATATATTTGCAACAAATTATTAAAATTATTATAACAAATTTATTGAGCTGAAAAATTCACAAACATAAATCTATAGAGAATTGGTTTTTCTATTTTAGGTTATTTAATTAAATTTCTAACTAGTCAATAATTAATACACAGATTAGAACATATACATTGGTAATCAATTTCATATTTACTATTAACAGATACCTACTAACACATAAGTTATGACATTTATGTTTTGTTATTAGCAGTCCCAGCTTAGAATTAGAAAATTTTCTGACAAATAAACATGTTTATAAATCAGCTATGGATCATTATATGATACTTAAATTTGGTGTTAACATAAAAGAAAAATTCAAAAATAATAAGCACTTAACATAAATTAAGTAGGTACATAATATTAAATTCATGCACTGTAAAATTAGTAATCAGTACCTAATTAGGTATACATAGTATTATATATTAGATGAATATATATTATATTATATTCTTATTAACATATTTATATTTCAATTTCATGACGTTTAATTATGTCTTTGTACGTTTCAGTATGGAACTTGGAAAATATTTTAGAAAATATAAATGTAACAAATGTAGCAATAAAACATACAACAAAAATTGTAAAAATAAAATCTACATCAGGTTCTTGATTCTCTTCGATTTGTACTATATTTTTCTCTTTTGGTTCCTTAAAATATATCCATAAAAGAGCCAAGCAGATGAAAAGATTACTAGGTATTTTAATGACATTTGATATGGTAACTCTTATCTTTTCTGGTATTACTTGACTCTTTAAGTATGTCATAGATGGCAAGTACATACCAATAGAAATTTCAAACAATAAGAAAAAAAAGTAACAAGTCATTACTTTATAGTATTTTCGTTGGCCATTGTAATCAATAAATATGTTTGATATTGTCAAGGCACAAATTAAAAATGATAAGCTTGCTATAAATGTAGCAAGCTGCAGTTGTTTTTTTGAATCTAAAGAACTATTTCCCAATAATATTGAATATATTTTTGAACCTATCATCAGAGCTAACATAAAACTTGAAAATACTAGCCCCAACGGTGGTTTTGAATCTTTTAACACGTCAAATGTAGGGGTCCAAATATATATGAACAAGTACATGACACCTTCATACAAGGACTGAACCACACTAAGGGTGAAGATATTTTTATTTGTCATCCACAGAATAACAGCTTTTTTCACTGACGCAGAAGCCGACTTTGTGTTGCGAATATAGTGCTCATTTATCACAGAGATAACATAAATGGTAGAAGTTATGAGAAATGGAATGGCCATTATAAAAGGAGCAACAGGTCCATATTCTAACACGCTCACTAAGAAGTAAGACAACAATCCAGCTAGTATGGCAAGTGTAGCGTTAAAAAAAGTTGCTTTGGCAAATGTACTATTCAACCACTCTTCTGGCAATTTATAATAGTTAATATGCTCATTGATGTACCACGAGTCAAATGCCGAATACAAAATAGACGTGCTTATACCTCCTAACATGCGTCCAACAAGCAATAATTGAAAGTTCCCAAACATTTTTGTCATACAACACCCTGAATATAATATACCATAAGAAATACATAACATTTTACGGCCATAAATGTCAGCCAGTGCTCCTGTAATGGTACCAAATAGACTGTTGGATATTGTGCCGGTAATGAAAAGGACAGCGATCTCTCCTTCATTATAACCGTACTGTTTGTACAATTTATAGACATACGGTCCTTGCAGCCAATCAGCAAAACATGCCAAGCAGTACACAGTCAAGTAACGTTTCTGGAGTTTCTGAAAGTCGGTGTTGGTTTCTTGTTTCAATTTTTCCACCACATACTTTTTGGACACCGCAAACAGTATTGCTGCAATCACCAGCAACACAATTATGACAATAAGGAACATGACATCCATTTGACATCACAGTAAACGGAAAATCTGAAAGAGAAAAACAAAAATCAATACACACGCAAGATCACTTTTTGCGAACAGGGTATGAACTAAATTGTTCATTTTAAACTAGTGTTATTTTTATTATAGGTAATATTCAAACTTGCCAACATCGTTTGGAACGGTTTCGGAATTTTTTTTTTCTACGTGACTAGTGACTAGAAAAATATTAAAATTATAATACTACGTGGTTCGACGTAAGGATGTCACAAAACGATATAAATACATATATCATTGCTTTTTTCATTACGTGTTATCATCACGATAAAATATTATTCAGTAACCATCATCATCATCATCAAATTTTCTAGGAACACTGCACAATCGTCGTATCGGTTTTCGGTTCGAGCCGGACGACGGTGCCGCCAGTCCGTATCGCGGGACTAAATGTGCCTAATCGTTTTTCACATGATTATTCCGGAGAAAAAATTACAATAAAAAACCGTGTGCACATTGTACACAATATTAAGCATGTGTACAGTAATGAGACAACGTCGTGTTGTAGGAAGTTTCGACGATAAAATATTTCACAGAACGTTTCAGTCGTTATAGATTTGTGCAACGTCTAAACTCTAAATAATTTGTACTCGGTATCAGTGTTTGTTAAGTTTTTTATTTTTTTATTATTCGTTATCAGCTTCACTATCGGAGGTTCGTTATCAGCTGCTAGTGAACTCTGATCTTTTGTTTCGGCGGCGGCGGCGAGCTGGCGACTCCTACTCGTCTCTTCTATAATATTATTAAACGAATTACACAACCCGCGGACCGTTCCGGCCTTCAGGTAATGTTTTTTTCTCAACGTTATATTATTTTTAACTACAGTAGGTACCTACCAATGTATCATAGATAGCTACTGGTTTCGGTTTACCTCCGATATCCCAACGACTAATTGCCATCCAACGACCAACAATAATAAAATATATTTATAATAATTAGTGTGCACATAAAAAAGGTACGTACCAAATGACTAAAATATGATTTGAACACCGTGTACTTATTGTATAATACATTTAAAAAATTATAAATTATATATTTTATAATGGGTACAATATAATAAATAATAATAGGTACCTTCGACGTACCTATTTATTTTGAAACTTTTAATAATTGTAATTGTTATATTGAATTGCATACAAAATATTAATAATGTATTGTATTAGTACGTAATTTATAACAATCATTGCCTATATTATTAGGTAGGTAAAATATGTATAGGTCGTTGTCTATTCGCAATTAACATAACTACATTTTCGGTTAAAAATAAAAAAATGTTTCTAGAAAAAATTGTTCAGCAGTTTTTATTTTTTATTTATGGTACAATAGTTTATAGTAGTGCAGACATATAAACTTTAAAATAATTTTTTTTTTTTTAATGTAATTGATTCTACGAATGTGTATTAATCACAATATACCTATACGTAAAAGGTACCTTTACGGATATACATACTAAAAATTACCCAAACAAATGTATATTTTTACTCTATAAATTATTTTATAAACTTATGTAAACCTAAATGATAATGATGATTACTTTTAAGATTTATTATTATTTGAGTGGGTACATTTTGTTAAAATTTAAATTTAAAAATTAAATCTTTTGTTGTGTCTATAGATACGATTATCACGTATGTATATAGGCTCCATACATACCTACAAAATATACGTAGGTACTTATAATATTATTATTTAAAATGTTTGAATGTATAAATAATTCATACAATTATTTTTTAATTTTGAGTAAAATGTTATAACTATTTTGTTTTAAATAAATAACACTATGACATTGACAGTAATAATGATTTATTAGCAGTAGTGCCAGTATACCTAGTACAAGACACAAACGTAATAATTAAAAAGTCACGTGCATTTGTGCAACTCGGAAAGTGCACAGGAAACTTGTGCTTCCCCAAGTTTAAAATGTGTACGCCTATGTTATAATGTTTAAGTCTTTGGTAATAAAATAGAAGTATTAGATACGTACTATATGTTGTACCTACATCATATTAATGGGCTCGCTTAATTTATTATACTATAAAATCGATTTAATTTAAAATAACGTTTTATTACCTTATCTATTTTCTAATAACATTCCTAATTTAGAATACCTACTCTTTAATTTTTTTTGGAAATGTTCTGTTTCGAAATTCTCTAATTTGTCCATATTCGTGGAGCTCTAGAAAAGAACTTAAGGTCATAAAACTAGTTGATAATAGTAAATAATGATAATCGGGAAAAAAATTTAAAATAAAGGTCTTAATAAAAATACACTCATTGTCGTTATCATTAGATATAATATATATATTATATTTAAGTATTTGTAAAATTATTATTATTATTTATTTATTTTTATTAGTGTAATAAACGAAAGGTACACAAAATTGATCATTAAAAGTTATTTTATAATTAATCTAGCGTATTGTAATATACATACGCTAAACAATTATTATTATTATTACTATTTTTATTACTTTTTTATTGTATGAATATTAGTAATATTACAATACACTATTAATAGTAATTTTTTCAGTGACTTTTTATCCGTAGTCTCTAATTAATGAGAACATTTTTTTTTTAGGAATTCCATTGTAATATACCGTACTGGGATGTACCTTAGGCCTTAGGTTGTTTGCTATGTTAGACGGAGACAATACATAATGTGGACATCGAGGCCTCCTAAGTATTTTGTAGGATATCATATAAGTTATAAATATTGTATAAGATAAAATGTGCTTATAAAAATATAAAATATTATAGTAGTCGGCATAGGCTTTTATAAATTATCATAAATATATAATATAGGTATAGGTATTCTGGGTACCTACGAATTAGTAACAGTCGTTTTAATCCAAACCAGACGAATATTTTGGAAATTATCTGTACAAAACTGTTATATTTTACGTTTTTAGAACGACATTCCTGACAAGAGAAAGAATCTAATGGGCGTGTACACATTCTTCGACGATTTCTCGACCGTATAAGCCACATAAAAATATTTCGACCCTACGAATACAATATATTTTACTGCCCATGTAGTCAACTATACACGTAACACGTGTCACACACACAACATTTTATATTTATGTTCACTTCGACCACTCATGTCTACTCTTCTGTGTACATAGGGTGTGTATTATGCTTACATTATGTTTCCGTTTTAAGTGTATTTTTGGATAATACTTAGTATTAAAGAGACTTCGAAGCTACTTATAGAACAATATTGCTCCAATCTAATAACTCAGGCTTTTGCAGTTTATTATCTTACTATAGTTATGATAGTTAACAATAATATTACAAAATTAAAGTTTGTTATATCCTACAAACTTGTAGGTTTACGATAAAAATACAAGGATTATTTAAAAATGTGAGAAAACAAAATTCAGCATGTCTGATAATTAAAAAAAAAAGTATTCCTTACAATATAAATTGCATTTTAAAAGCGGTAAAATCCGTAGTTTGATATTGATACCGTCCTTGGTTATCAAACTGATATCTATATTTTGTCTACAACCACAACGCCGCGGAACGGATATCGACATGGAACTTCTTATATATACCTATAGTAGGTACTGTCTATACCTACGTCGTCGGGAAGAGATCGCGGAGGAAACGCGGCGACACCGTATTGTCTGTATTCCTCGTTCCGTCATAATAATTATAATATTTATTGACCCCAATTTATATTTGTACTTTGTAGTAACATAGTTTGATACAAGAATATTATATATTAAATATACATTGGTTCTCTTTTCAAAAGCGGAGTTTGTGCTGAAAAGAGAGAATTTGTGTTACAGATTTGTATTATTGTTTAATAGTCACTATTAGCGCTTAAGAAAATCAAAATGGGACAGATTAGAAAATGAACCCGAACAACATAGGTTATAACAGTATTTTAGAGACTTCATTTTAAAATAAAAAAGAAGAAAGATAAAAAAATATATATGAAAAATAAACGGAATGGATCTATAAATAAAAATTATCGAAACAAAACATTATTTATATATTTTTTATACATTTTCACCTGTTAAAACTATATATAGTACAAAGTTGAATAAATTTATACCTATAGGGCTTTGTTACTCGAATGGCGAATACTGCAGTATTCATTTTAGGGATGACGACATTAGTGTTAAAGCGAGTATTGCAGTTATTAAGTCATTGTTGTCATAAATTAGTTTTTTTTTTGTCATTCAGTTCACCGATTACTAAATTGCACGTGACTTATAATTCTGGATATGATTCACACTTTACATAGTATATATAAATATACCTATACGTTCCTGTCGAACGTATAGTATGCCCATTGCCCATGAAAAACTTGGTAACTCACGTTACAGTACCCTTGACAATTAGACAAAATCTATTTAACCATCAATATTGTGTCATCTCCTTCCACGGTCTAACCACCATCGAAACCAACGTCTAAGACGGACAGCGTTTATAATAAAAACGATCTAGAACGGAAATCATAAAAATATTTGTTTTTACATTAATTAATAACTACGGTGCCAACTGCTGATTATATGAATCGTTGCATATAGACACGTTTGTCATACAACAAAATAGAATAATACCTACGTACCGGTAAGTACAATTGTCAATAGTTTTTGATTATTCTAATTTTTTTCTATTTAAATACAATTTAAAAAGAAATATTTAAAAACAGCTCAATGCAAAATCAATATTTACTCCACATCTGAAATTCGATGTGGTTTGTATTTAGGTATACAATATAATTTACAATGTACCTATACAGCATTTTTCAGGTCATCTTAAATCCCTGCACAAAAGGTATGACTACTGTTTTTTTTCTTTATACGACACGCGAGTTTTAAAAATGTTTGGTAAAACTCTTTTGTCTCGAACGGATGTAGTTTTCTGACAATAATAAAACCCCCAGATATTTTATATTTTCTTACCCTCTAAAAACGTATTTTTCTGCTTATTATATACGTTTGTATTATGTATCATTTATACCTATATACAATAAAACGTTCTGAGCAACATATACCGATGGACATGGTGATGTATACATATATTATGTAGGTAGTCGTGTGGGTATATGGCGTTTCCATTTTAAATGTAGGTATTATATTGATACACAATAAGGTATTTTTATTGAATGCGATGTGAGAGAAAAATAAATTTTATTGTACCGTACTCTCAACCTCCCAATCTTTGGAAAGAGAACTTTGTATATACGTATACATAAGCTGCGCTGTAGAAAATTACCTTCTGGAATTAACTCCGGAGCGGCCAACAACATAAAAATAATTTATCATTATACTCGGCTCGAATTTGAAAAGTAAAAGAATGAGACTCTTATATGGTTGTTTCATAAGGAGTGATTTAAAATCATCCCCGTGTATGTGTTCACACTAGGAGATTCGCTTGCAATTAAAATGAATTCGAATATTTTACCCTCTAAATTCGAAAGGTGTATATTGTCGTTTTTGTAACACTGGGTCTGTTGTAGTAAAGTCTTTGAATAAATTATTTTACATCGTTTAATAAAATGGAGACCTTAGATAATATCAAAGCGATTTGTGTAGTGTATAGTTTATATAAACGTCAACAATTAAAACAAATAATTGCCATCAAGTGAAAATATTGGTT